CTCTCTCTCTCTCTCTCTCTCTCTCTCTCTCTCTCATTCATTCGCAAATGATTTTTCGATCTTTCTCGAATCCTTTGAACGATGTCAACGTGAGACGACAACGCGAGAACGATCGCGATCCGAGTAAACGACGATTCGATTATTTGTACAAAGTACTTGGTATTAAAAATGTGTGATGATTAGGTGTAATTTGGGCGCTTTACACACGCGCCTACTCGATACTATAATTCGTTCAGGAAGGGTTCGTGAAAGATCGATATATTTCGTTGATTTCGCGGCCTATCGCAATAGTTTTTTGTAACATTTTCGTAGTTCAGTCAATTCGTGACTCATTCAAAACCTTGGAATTACATGAATGCTCATAGTTTCATGTAACATGATAAAATAAGCAATTATGATATTCCAATTAGTGCGTTTACAAATTGAAATTCTCGAATTTTTTTTTTCTTTCGCATCGATATTGAAAAAAGTCTCTGTCTTTTTGGTTTTTTCATTTTTGTTTTGTTTTTCCACAAAAAACGTTGCCCCTCCAAATCCACCCCCGTAGCATTCGTTTCGCGAAATCCTGTCATTACCGATCGATCCTTTTTATTTTTTCTTTTTTTTTTTTTTAACTTCAGCGCATTTTTTTTTCTCGTCAAATCTCTCGTTGATTATTAAACTACACGTCTAAGTCGTTAAGATTTACAATATCAATTAATTATCAAATTATTAATTTAAGTCAACCATTAGAATTACTTTAGAATATTGGTACACTTCGCGTCATCCGGTATTTCTCGTTAATTCTTCATCCCTTGAATCATATTTTTCAATCCTATTCTACAATCGTTCTTTCGTTCATTCTCATTTTTTATCATTACTTTTCTAATTTTATTATTCTCTTGACCAATCCTCACGCAATATACACATTGCCTAGTTTTGTTTCTTCTCTCATTCGCACATTATTTGTTTTCATTCTCGCTCGTTACGGCGAACACGCGGCTTTTGCTTCATTTAATAAGAAAAAAGTTTAAAAAAAAAAAAAAAAGAAAATGTTTTATTCAACCACGATAGAGAATTGATTTTATTTTATGGTTTTCTTTGACATTTTCTTCCATTTTTACCACCACTTCATCTTCTTCTTCTCTCTCGTGATTTTCGTCATTCGGTTATAGTTGAATCGTGAGTAGGGCCCCTCTTATAATGTATATATATATATATATATATATGTAAACAAGTGTTTGTACTATAAAAAATTAAAACTTAAACGTCGAGGTTCTTCAGGTGCGGTTTTGACCTGGGGAGTCTTCGGGATATTTCGATAATAATGCGAGGAAAATAGAGATCGATGTGATAGATAAGAAATAGGAAGAGAAGAGTCGTGATAAAAGAAATTATTTATCTTTTTTTTTTCTTTTGCTTTTGTGTGAGTGTGTTAGTGTTTTTTGTTTTTTGTTGATCAGCGTTTCTCGCCGAACTTTGACTTTGAACAAAAAGAAATTTGCAAAAGGCTTCGTCTAAGGAACGAATCGTCTTATCGCGAAAAATTTCATTCCTATCTTCCTTAGTTCGTTATTTTTCAATAATAATAGTAATAATAATAATAAGAATAATAATATTATTATTATTATTAATAATAATATAATTAATAATAACAATAATAATAATAATATTAATCATCATCATCATCATCATCATTATCATCATCATCATCATCATAATTATAATAATTAGCGACGCACAACGATCATTTCGTTTTTTAGACCGTATTCAGATTCGCCCGCGTACTCTCTCGGTCGCACTTCCGACCTTTAACCTCGACATCGAGATAATTCGAAACAATATTTATTCTTCCTTTTTGTTTAATATCATCATCATCATCTTCTTTATCTTCATTTCTTTCTTGTTTTCCTTCTTCCCTTTTTTCCTTTCTTTCTTCCTCATCGGACATTCCATTCGCGTTTTTATATAAGAACGCTTCTTGATTTATTTTTTCCCCTTTTTCGGTGTGCGTGTACGTGTGTTGTATATGTACCGGGTGTATGTATGTATTTCTGTATTATTTTGTATGTCCGTGGTGTTTTACTCACGTATTTTTATTTATTTTATTTTAATTTCTTTTTTTTTCTTCTTCATTTATATTTATATAATATTTATATTTATATTTATATTTATTTATATTTATATTTATTTATATTTATATTTATATTTATATTCATATTTATATTTATTTATATTTATATTTATATTTATATATATATATATTTATATTATATATTATATATA